GGTAGGCTTCCTTGGATTAACCAAATTCCTGATGAGTTTGTAAGTTTTCGCTCCACACACACTGAGCAGAACCGCCCGTTTCTTGTTGTTGTCCGTAATATCATTCGCCGCGAAATACTGCTCGAGCCGTTCGGTGTACTCAATCCAGCTGTCTTTCTCGTTGTATTCCTCGATTTTCCCGATCAATGCCATGGTTTTGTCCGTACCTCGTCGCCAGTGTAATATTCTAGAGCCAATAAACCAGCCAAAACTCGAGAACGCAGCTCTATTCTAATTCAAGCGACTGCAAACGTGTTTCATCCAACTGAACTACTGGAAAACTACTGGAGAAGCGGTTACACAGCTCACAACATTCTACAACAACGCTGTCCCGCGATCTCAATTTTTTGTATGGTTGAGGACGTCTCGAAGTCCCGTGATTGCATTTTGTTGGCTTGTTTTAATAAATGAGGTCATCTCGTCACCTGATGTATTGAATTTTGATAACACAACTTTCAATTTTGCAAGAAAAGGCCAATCCGAAATTCTCCTCAATTGCCTAAATTGAAAACAGGGAGCGTGTTTCAGGATATCATAACGTATAGTGTTATAGCTGAATTTCCAGTTCCAGATGGTCTCCTTGTGGCAATTTAAAAAGTCAAAATCTGTTCGGGCTAGTAAAGAAAACGCTCCTCTCGGGGTCTAGCAAAGTCTCGCATTTATCATCCCCTGTCCCTTGTTCAAGACTCTAACGGGCCCTATTCCAATCAAACAAACACCGATGGTCATGGACTTGTGAACATTGACATGCATTTAATATACCTCACGGTTCAAGGTCTGCCTGTCCACGGGACAAGGTAAAGGTTCGCCTTCTTGCCTGTTGAAAGAAATGATAAGAAGAAAATCAGAGTAATTCCCTCAGCTCTACCTCATCTATATACCATAAAAAATTACTAGTTAAGTGTGTGACAAATGTGTGAAAAGCGTAGGAATGTGAATTGTATAAAACAAATAATAGGGTACAAATATGAATAAGAAATGAGTAAATGATCTAATGGGCGAGTGTCACACTTTACAAAGAGTCTCTCCAGATTTGCTGAAATAGTTATCAGAACAAAAGTATCCAACGGTTACTTATTTGAACTTCCCTTGCCTGCCCTGTCGAATCACTGGTTTTTTTTTTGTTGTTGTTTTTGTTTTTCTCAAACTGCCTGAAAATTGGACGCTAGGGAAAAAAGACAGAGTGCACGGCACACTCGATATCAAGCGCAAACTGATGAAATAATTGACAAGCTGCCGGAAACTAGCCCGCAAGAGCGTCCCGTTTTTCGGCTCTTAAAGTGCTCTCGCAGGCTAGCCGGAAAAGGGCAAACGGTAGTTGGAATAGCCATGTGACCAGTTTTCCCACCTTTTCATTACGTTTTTTGCTTACACCTTGTAATGAGATACAAAAGAAAGATATAACAGAGCTAAGCTGTTAATTCCACCTATTCCCTGATCTCATATTTTTGATGACTAAAGGTGAATATTTCAATTTCCAGCTGTAACTGAAATAAGTGCTTATGATAAAACAAATAATACACAAGCTCATAGTATTAACAAACTAGATTTGACAGGACTTACAAAATGCGGTGTATATAGTTGATTATTCTGTCGATTTATTTATCAATTTTAGGCTTGTACATACGTAAAGGAAGTTTTAAATGTTTTTCAATATTTTATTTTAACCAATTTTTTGTCACAATGAAAGGAGCCATCTTTATTTACACACGATCGACCAACGAAACGTAAAGAATTCGCAGACTTGTAACATTGTATTTTGCTGCGGGACAAGTTGGTCACAAACCTGGTAATACGCGCAACAGAGTGTTTCAACTTGCAATGCAACAATGTTGCGTGACAAGTTGAAGAAAAATGTTGCCCGTGTTACCGGACTTTAATATGATCATGAGACCATGAAATAAACATCAATTTGCATTGTTCCAGTCTGAGACCATTTAAGTCGCCAATTATTTCTACCTGTATGGCATTTTTATTTCCGTGGCACGAAATTAAATCTAGTTTCAAAAGTTGTTTTTGCTGAACATGTTTACTTTGTGAATTACAAGCGTTTATCCGATGACATTCATACTCACTATGTCAATAAATCACTCTAAATCATAAATGCTCGAATGCTACAAATGCCACATTTTGTTGTGATGCACCGAAATTTGCGAAAATGTTACCGCCGTATCTACATTAACAATGAGTCAATTTTGAACTTTACTCTGATTTGATATTACCTCCGCTATGTAAATAATTCACCCGCTAAACTGAAAACAATACCGTTTCGTTTCTGAGGAAAGAGAATGGTAATTAAAAGCTATTTTCGTGATTCGTGGATGGCCTGATTTTTTTCCGTGAAATGTGAAATGGCTTGTTTTTTTCTCGTGAATAGTGATTTCATTAGAAGCCGTGAACCGTGATTTTCTAAAATAATTATCCGTGAAATGAGAAAGAAGTATTTAATTCGTCGTGAACCGTGATTCTAGTTGTGTCTTCTATCATTTTCGACCGTAATTAACAATATTGCGTGACCGAGACAGGACATGCAAACATCCCTCTTCGTGTTCTTGCTCGGATTTCTTTTTGCTGCGCGCAGAACAAGAAGCGTACAGAAGATAAAGACATCTAACAAGGCTGTGCTCTAGAGGTAACTTTTCAAATATCATAAGCTACGTAAGTTCGTGTCAAAAAATGCCATTTTTTTTTCTTGAAACGTGAAATGCCGATTTTATTTCTCGTAAATTGTAAAATGGTCAATATATTTTCCGTGAAATGTGATCTTCACCCCCTCCATCCTCCTTTACCACCCTCAGGAAACGAAACAAAAATCAATTCCATCGACGTGTAAAATTAATTCATGCTTCCGCTTCTCGCCTTCATTATATTTGTTAAATAAATTATTCCAGGAGCAATTAAAAAACTTAAGAGTAAGTGTCAGTAAGGATCAAAGAAATTGTGGACACAGCTAAAATTCAATTTGGCACATACTTTGTCCATTGGTAGGCCTTAGTCCCATACATATGACAAGGATGTTCGTTTGTTAACAATTCTCGCTTGTTTGGGAGAAATCAACTTGAAACGGTTTACGGTATTTTCATGCACAGCTCATCGCAAGTTTTCAATCAATTTCACACTAATCCTATTCGTCTGATGCTCGTGCAACTGAATGACAGCAAAACCATTTCATAACCATTCCTTACAAATGAAACATGACTTTTTTCAAGTGCACCTACAACTTCTCTGAAATGGATTTGTTGGTGCTTCAAACGTACGTGCCAAAGATGTTCGCGGTAAGCGATGAATCCGACCAGGAAATCTCCTGAGATATGCTCAAGGATGGCTCCAGCTTTCTGCCGTTTAAATTTATTGGGTTCTTTTGTATTTGTACAGCTAGAGGTTCAGGCTATAAGCCAATTTTCAATATCCGCCATTTTGAAATATGCAAATATTTTACCCCAAACGGACACCGGGTGGGGTGAATTGTCAGCCACCTCCAACATAACTCTACAGTGTTTACAAAATCGCGCTGCCCGCATCGTTTTAAGGCGTGATTCTTCTAAAGACACTTTAAATGTTTTAGGGTGGGCTGAGCTAGAAACAAAACGGAAAAGCCATAAATGTGTTTTAGTATATAAATGTCATAACAATCTAGTACCTCAATATTTGAGTTACTATTTCACTGGAAATTATACACCTTTTGCTGTTCATTTACAGAAAATATCCATTCATTTGTGTTGAAATTTGTTTCATTATGGTCAATAAACTCTCATTAACACCAATACGACATTTATTTACGCGTAAGGAACGTTCAAGAATAACATTTGCATATGTATTAACATTCAAAATCATCAAA